AGACATTACAGAAATTAAGACACAGTTAAATAAAACATATAATTGTAACTACGTGTCTAAAGCATAGTTTATTCCTATGAAGTACAAATACATTAAAAAATATATATTAGTCAGTAGCTTAACTGGGTTGGGCAATAACTCCTTTTCAGTTCACAATTTGGTGAGAGTTAGGTATTTAGTTTGCATTTGGCCTCTTTTTTTGAAAACCTTGGATGTAAGTGTGCGGAGATCCAACTCTGCCTTGAATAAGCACATCCAAGCCTGAGGGATGTTAGTGGGCGTTTCTCAGGGCAGACTTCTGCTGTCCTCCATCACCAAGGCACAAATGGATGAGCCTCACTATTATTCATTAATTTCCCCTCCCAGCACTTTATTGGGAAAGCCTACACAAAGGTCCCCTGGCTTCTCCACTATCCATCACTTATGGTCCTGCTCCTGGGAAGCTGTATTCAAGGTGTTTTTTTTACCTCCAACTCATTTAACCTCCTTCCAAGTGGGGTTACCAGCAGCATATGCCTGCACCTGGTCTGAACTCCCAAGTCCTGCTAGCAATGGAAGGGCTACAAGGGTGCAGCAAAGTGAGACCGGGTGCTGCAAATAGGATTTTCAGAGCATCCAGCCTCTCTGTAACGCCGTTCCCACAGATGTTAGGCGTTTCACATGCCTACTCTGTTTACACAGACAGAGCTTAAACAGGAAGATGGTAACCAAGAAGAGAGTGCCCAGACCAAACTGCAAAGGGGAATCCCTGCATTCAGAGAGCAAGCAGGGTTTTAGGGCTAAACTGGCAGAAACGTATGTGGAGCCCAGCACTGGGCCAGCAAGGGAAGGAGGGAGGGGGGCTGTAGTTTAGCAGAACTGTACACAAGGGCAGCCTGCAGGGAAAGCCGTCTGTGCATCAGCACAAATGTATTTTTTTTCATATATATATAAAAAAAAAAAAAAAAAGAAATAGAAAAGCACAGCCAGCTTGGAATAGTAAGAGGCACTCACAAAAGGAGCAGTCATCTCGTATCTCTGATAAGAAGGTTAGCAAGAAATAAAGAGCAGCTCGGTCTTGCTGCCTGTGGCTGATTGATCTAGCCCCGTACTTTCTCTCTGACTAGGAAGCAGGCAAGACCTGCCCCGAGCGCTAGTGTCTTGTACTCACAGCACCTGTGACTTGCCACGCTGGGGAAAGAGCATTGCTAAGTTCGGAGAAAATGAGGTCACCTAACCAAACACGCTCCCCACCCCACCAAACCCTTCGTTCCCATCTGCCTTCTTTTAGGCTGAACCCAGTCAATTTGCCCTCCTCAGATGACCTCCCATGCAGTGTGAATTGAATTCCCCGTCTTAGTCACATTCTAAGGAAAGCAAAGCCCCCATGTCTCAGCCCTGGAGGGGCGGGTTGCGAAGTCGGTGGTATGAGCGCCTGTGTGGATTTAATGGCATTTGCACCCATGAAGTCATTCTGCGTTCACACTGATGTCAGAGTAAGAACCGGAATTTATTACAAGTGTTTCTGTGCCTGTAAATAGCCTTGCCCTCTCCCAGGGAAGCTGGCTGGGGATTAAATAAACACCGACACAAGAGATCCTATTAATGCCTGCATAAAATGGATACGATGCATCGCACCATCGGCAGAGCCACTCTGTGCACAGGTGTAAGCATCAACCCTAGGCGAGAGGTAGGGCGGACTCGGAGCCATAGACTTTGCCATGGAGTGAGCTGCAAAGTTTGAACCAACTCTATTTAGACCGAGTACTCTCTAGGGGAAAGACAGCTGAACCCCAATTTGAGAAGCAAATGCCACATTACTCAGCGCAGCCCTGAAATGAGTTGGTATTTGTAGTCCCTACCGTAAAAACAACTCAAGGGCTTTCTTGGTGCTTCCACCACCGGGCTGTCCGCTTTCTCTCCCCATGCTTAACCCCAGTGTTAAACTACTCAGAGGGCTGGGGGTAAATTTTAAGCCAAGGTTTTGTGGTTATTTCAGGCGTACAACAGTCTGCTACCTCACCCTGGTAGTTCAGAGATGTCCCGTATGCAGGATCCATGCAGAGTTATATTACAGGTCATCATCTTTAACAAAAATAAATAAAATTAATTAATTAATTAATAATCCAAGTCTTTCAGTCACACTGGCAGAGGAAAAAAAAATTAGGATTATTGTGCCTTCCCACAGCAGG